TTCCACTATATTTTCAACTACTAAGTTATACCAATTTATTAATTTATCATCCTAGTTTTAAATTTAAGATGAATTCAGACCCACACATTATCTATTAAGTCAAGAAATGTAAGAGCTATTTGGAAATGGATTACGTGTTTAGGGACTATCAAGGGAACTGTGTTTGGACCCATGGTGGCTAACTGGTTATGCGTTGAACTGCCAATCATGAGGTCAGTCATTTGAACCCACAATTCACTCTGCAGCCTTTAAATCTTTTGAAGCGTTAAAAGGTTCGGGTACCCAAAGGGGCAGTTATTCTCTGTTCTATAGTGTCCCTATGAGTTAGAACCAATTTGATAGCAGCAGGTTTATCATTTTGGAATGGGAGGCTGTTCAGTCCATACCGAGACCACAAGGTGGATACCAACCGCAAAGCCAGGACCCAGCCTGGGAAAAGCGGAAACAGCAAATTGAAAAGGCACATGTATGGAAGGCATGATTACAATTTAGAGTATTGAAAATATATGACCATAGCAATTTTAATATTTTGAAAATAGAAGCTATTCTTCAAGTTATGCAGCAAACATTTTAACACAGAGAAGTCAATGTATAAGTCACGTTCAATGTTTCAGAGGTGAGGTGGAAAAGGTTCTTTATAAGACAGACTCTAACTTTCCTTTTAGGAGTCCCTGTGCACAGGTGGAGAAGCTGTACCATCTTATAACAAGATTAGAACATTTCTATTGTAATCAAGGAGTTGAACCAATTTAGGGTTAAAAACCCCACTCAGAAAACAGAAACCCACTCAGGGGTTCAGAACAATTTTAATCTCTAGTTATTGTAGCAAACTCACTGTCAGTCAGTTGGCTGTGACTCATCACATTCCTGTAGACAGAGGGGTCTTTCCTGTGGGTTCTGAAGCTGGAAATCTTTGTGTAGCACGAAGCCTCAGCTTTCTTTCAAGAGTGGCTGGCGGACTCAGAATTGCTGCCCTTGTCATTAGCAAGCAAACACAGAACCCACTTATGTCTGCCCCCTTTTCAGACAACCAAATGGAAACAAATTGAAGCTGCTATTCCGTCTCTAATAAAGGAGAAGTGGCACTTGAGGAAAACTCCACGTGTATGTAATTTGCACGGTTCAGCTATAGCTTTAGTTCAAAGGACACAGTGTGAAATATAACTTGACCCAAATATGTAGTATAACACACACTTTAAATACAGCCAATATGCATTTCCTCTAGCCAGCACTGCAATAAAATATCCAGATTTTTTTACAGGTGATCAGAGTGCAGAATGATATATGGTAGATTTCCTGTGTCTCAAAACCTAGAGCTGAGAGGAGAATCCTGGGACCATACTGCTGTCAGGAAGACCAAGACCTTTCTATGATGACTGTGCTTCTTGCTCCTCCATCCCTCCCCCTCCTCTCTCCCTCCCTCCCTCCCCTCCTTGTCCATCCTTACATTGTACATAAACATATTCAGGATTATATACAAACTACAGAATTTTCTTTCATAAAACAATGCTTTTTAATGATGACTCTTTAAAGTAACTTTGCCATTTTTTTCCTGCGGAACAATTACAAAGATACTTCAAATCAATTGTTTTATATAAGGGCTTTTGGTTTTTTTTCTGCCAAGGTTACTGACAGCACCACTCCCTAAAGTGACTTATTTTTTTCCCTAATGACCAAGCCAAGTCAAAGTCACTGCCCCGGGGTCCCTGCCGACTCACAGTCACCCTATGGGGCGGTGTAGAGCTGCGCCTGTGACTTCTCCAGACTGAGAACCCTTTTCGGGAGTGCAAAGCCTGGTCTTACATAGGGTGCAGTACAGCACCAACGAAACCTATGACATGCCGCTAGCTCTTTAATGCTTCCTTCCCCCACTATCATGACCCCAGCTGTACCTTACAAATCCGGCTAGACCAAAGCATGTCCACTGTTACAGATAGGAACTGGAGACACAGGGAATCCAGGACAGATGAATCCAGGACCAGTAATGAGAGTAGTGGTACCAGGATGGTAACGGGAAGATGGGGGGAGAAAGAGGGAACTGATCACAATGATCAATACATAACCCCTCCCCCGAGAGGGGATGGAAAACAGAAAAGTGGGTGAAGGGAGATGGTGGTCAGTGTAAGACATGAAAAAATAATAATTTATAAATTATCAAGGGTTTGTGAGGGATAGGGGGGGGGAATGAGGTGCTGATACCAAGGGCTCAAGTAGAAAGAAAATGTTTTGAAAATGATGATTATATATGTACAGATGTCCTGGACACAATGGATATAAATTGGATTGTGATAAGAGCTGTCAGAGCCCCCAATAAACTGATTTTAAAAAAAAGAATGATAAATCTGATTTCCCTGAATTAAAAAAGATAAGAAAGAAAGCCTGGTCTCTTCCCCAAGGAGCGACTGATGGTTTTGAACTGCTGACTTTGCAGTTCGCAGCCCCACATGTCACCGCTATAGCACCAGGCTTCCTGAAGAAGGAGCCCTCACAACCAAACTCACCGCCATAGCAACCTCCTGGTGTGTGTGTGGGGGAGGGGGGGGTGTCCCGAGACTGTCACTGTTTACAACAGGAGGAAGCCCAGTCTTTCTTCCTTGGAGCGGCTGGTGGCGAACGGTTGCCTGTCCAGATCACAGCTCAACACATCACCAACTACATCACCAGGGCCCCATCGGAATGGTGATCTGTACAGACTGAGACGGCCGACATGTCTCCCGGTGATTGTTAGTTTCCAGAAACACTTAAAGCTGTTTCCTAGAAAAATGAAATCTTTCTGAAATATCTTAAAAGGAAAGAAAATGGAATCCAGGTACAGGGGTGGGACTAGTGGCACCAGAAGGGTAGGGGAAGAAGGGGTGCGGAGGGGAGGAAGGGGGAACGGATTGCAATGATTGACACATAACCACACACACCCCCTCCAGGGAGAACAACAGAAACCTTGGGGGAAGGGAGACAGTGGTCAGTGTGAGATATGAAAATTAAAATAATGTATTATCTATCAAGGGGTCACGAGGGTGGGGGGAGGGAGGGCAAAAAGAGGAGCTGATACCAAGGGCTCAATAGAAAGTAAATGTCTAGAAAATGATGATGGCAACATATGTACAAACATGCCTGTTGCAATCGATGTATGGATTATAATAAGAGTTGAAAGAGCCCCCAATAAAGTGATCTTTTAATAAAAGAAAAAATGTTGTGGTAAACAAAGTGAATATGTTCGTATATTTTGAGCATCGAGAGGAGACGGGTCAGAATCATTCAGTACACTTAGTCATTGGGACCCACATCCGAGAACAATCCCCTAAATTGGCGATTGTACCTTGGACAGTGTTGCTCCAGGGATTCCCCAAGCTATAAGCTGAACATAGAGCATCCCTTCTGTGTAATAACACCATATCAACTCTGTTTCTGATTCATAATAACCCTGTAAGACAGGCCGAACTGCCCCACAGGGTTCTCGGGCTCTAATTTTTAGGGGGACAGATTGGCAGGCTTTTTCCTCACACAACACAAGAAGCCATGGGTGTTGGAGTGAGCCGAGACATGGGTGGGTTGGACCACTCCAGGAGTTCTGTGGGGCAGTTTAATGACACCAGCGTTCCTTTCTGCTTATGGCCTTTTAAAGCCCTCCTTCCTCAGAAGGCTGCAAAACTTTGTTTAAATTAACTGTGTCAGTTCTCATTTTATATTGATTATGAGTGTATTTTTATTATTAAAGAAAATGAGGTTGAAATAAAATAATTCATACTGAATAAGATTTTATTTTCATTTTCACCATTTATATCCAAACACAAGTTAATAAAACACACCACAAAACAGTAAAATGTCATAGTTAATATGTATAGGTGCATAGTTTCATGCTCACATGTTTTTAAAGTATTATATATATATGTTTATATAAACAAATTTCACACCACCTCATTATTCCTGAACAAGAAAAGAATTGTTAAAAGATGACTAAAAATCTTAGAAGATATGATAACAAATCACTCATCACTTCTCAATAACAACAACAAATAGCCCCAAATAGCAACAATTTAGAAAGACATGGTAGTCACTTAGGTGTTTTTAATTTGTTTTAACATTTAGAGTTTGAAGCCACAAGACCCACAGCACATAAGGACCCTGCTACGGTCTGTTCATTTCAGTGAGAAGGGAGCACTGAGACGCTACGGGCCGGGGCAGTTACTCCAAGCACTGCTGATGGAAGACTTCAAAATACACTGTAAGACTTGGAGAAAGTATCACTGAGCACATTGGAATGGAGTACTGATACAGGAGGGAACATCTGTCAGTAGGTCTCAGGAAACTGGGAGGAATGTTCTTCTTAGGCTTCCGGTTCGTAGTCTTGATAGCCTTCCTAAGTACAGGAAAATCACAAAGACACCTTTAGCGTTGCTAGAAATGATTGGTCATCGAGGGGCTTATTGCAAACGAGATAGGACGCGATTCACTGTTGAATAAAGGTTAGACTCATCATCATCCTGGAATGATTCTCCTACATAAAACCTCGTGCTTAATAGATGTGTCTTACCTGCCAGCTATAAACATGAATCTCTGTAATTAGGTGGTAGTTAGCAGAGTCAGATAATTGTGGTACTAGTTCCAAGTGCGCCATCAGACATAGTATGATGTAATAGTCTAGGATGCAATACTCTTCGTTGCCGTTGAGTCAGCTCCAAATCATAGTGACCATACGTACAATAGAACTATTGTATGTACATATGTGCATACACTAGTGACCACATGTACAATAGAACTACCCGGTCCTGTGTCATCTTCCCAATTGTTCTTAAGTTTGAGCCCATTGTTGCAGCCACTGTGTCAGGGGAAAGCAGTTGCTCTCCGTTTAACTCTGAAATGTGGCAACCTATCAAGCGGCCTCATCAACGGCTTTAATTATGACCTCTACTCTAAAATACTCCCATCACCACAACGATGAAGGTATTTGGATATCACCAGCTAAAGTGTTCAGCTTTGTCCACCCCAAGGACAGCTTTAATCATGTCAGGATACTATCTAAAGGCAAACAAAACAAGGGGCCATGAGGGTGGGGGGAGGGATGGGGATGAAAAAAGGTGCTGGCACCAAGGTCTCAATAGAAAATAAACATCTTGAAAATGATGATGGCAACATATGTACAAACGTGCTTGATACAAGTGCTGTATGGATTGTTACAAGAGCTGTAAGAGCACTCAAAATGTTAAAATAAAAGAAAAGAAATAATTGGCAGGTTTTCCTAAAAATCAACCAGACCCTCTGCTGTCAAGTCAACTCGGACTTATACAAATCCTGTACAGAGTTTCTGGGTCTCTAATAGTTACTGGAGCAGACAGTCTCAATCCCACCTAGTGCTTGGGGCTGAGGAACATGTTGCACAAGGGTTAAAAGGCCTGGCTGCTAACCCAAAGGCTGGCAGTTCAAACCCAGAGCAGCTCACAGGGAGAAAGTTACTGCAGTTTGCTTCCAGAAAGAGTACAGCCTTGAAACTCTATGGGGCATGATTACTACAAGTTTCTATTTGTCTTTAACACAACTCTGCACCCCAATCTGTCATCTTTCCTTGATTCGCTTCACTTTGAGTCCTTTGTAGAGACTGGCTGCCTCTCCCACGCATCCACATGCTCCCTCGGACGTGCACGCTTTGGTTTCTGATACTCATTGGGCTGGATTGTGCCCCTTCATACAGGTCTGTCACATCACCCTCCCTTCTCTCAAGCCTAGATCAATGCCACCTCTTCCATTAAAGTTTTCTTGATTGAGCTAAACCAGCGGTTCTCAGCCTGTGGGTTGAGACCTCTTTGGGGGTCGAATGACCCTTCCACAGGGGTTGCCCAATTCATAACAGTAGCAAAATGACCGTTATGAAGTAGCAACAAAAATAAGTTTATGGTTGGGGGTCACCACAACATGAGGAACTGTATTAAAGGGTGGCGGCAGTAGGAAGGTTGAGAACCACTGAGCTAAAGAGATCTTTTGAAATGTTATAACATTTTTTGTTGTTTTATTATGTTTTGGTGAGAACCCAGCAAACTGGGTACCAAATGAACATACTGTTCAATGATATTGGTTAATTTTTTCACAATTTTTGACATTCTCAATATTTCCATTCTGGGTTTTCTGTTTAAATGAATTGAGCTTCCTTTCCCTATCCTTACATTCTCATCTTTGCTTTAGGGTAGATATTATAGGTACCATATAGGTGATTATTTAAAGGAGCAGAGTACTCATAGACTGTAAGTGATATTTATTTTCTAAGCCAAACTACTATTTGGCTGAAGGGTGACCTCCAGAAGTGAATCCATTTCCATGGTAATGGGTATCTCAGCGTGACAATTTTGGAGAATGATTTAGCCTCTACTGGTACAATAATTCTGTCCTTTTTTTTTTTTAAAGGAATTTGAGGTTTGTCCTATCGTTTTCTGTCATTCTATATGGTATCATCTATGGTGTCTCTGGTCAGAATAGTTGTTAATGGTAGCCAGTCACTGTCCAGTTTACTTCTGTATTGGGACAGAAAAGGTCATGGCTTACTTTACCCTTAGTCCTATAGACTACCACGGTCTGATTCTTTGGCTACATTCATTCTTTCTTTTCAGGTGAGGACAGCCCAATGGAGATCAATTGATTTGTGCACTATGTTATGGAAAATTACTAAGCTGTCCCAGAGACTGTGATCCTGAGCTTTCAAACATAGCAAACCAAAATTGCAAAATAGATAGTTATATCCAGGAAAAAGGATCCACAACTGGGTCTCCTATATGGTATACATAGGACCTAATAAGGGGCCTAATATGGATTATATTATTATATGTGAGGATTAATTATATTTCATATGTAATTAATATTATGTGTGGATTAATTATATTACTATATGTTACACAGGAACATAAAAGCATGTGCTTTAGATATATCTTTATATCTATATATGTATAACAATATACTCACATATGCCTTCCTATAACATATATGCATACATATCCATCTATAAAACCAGTCTCATATTTTAGGTTGCTATTTCTGTTTTGCAAAATTCTTTATGTTACTGCATTTACCAAAATGTTCCTTATTGTTGTGTACTTCTTAGTGCCATCATTCATCATAGTTCAGTTGAGCAAATTTAATATTAGTTATTATCTTTTCCATAACCCTAAATAACAAGTTCTACTGTCTAGAACGTAATTTCTCTTCCCATGAGGATCCCTGAATTTTCATAGAACATTTTTTCTGGTATTCCCCTATTCCTATCTTTTTATAAAAAGTAAAACATGTAACACTTATTCTTGCCTTATTACACGCAGCCTAATTTCCTGAAAATGCATCTGGATCACAGTAGGACTTCTTGTAGGTGCTGCCAACTCAGATCCATTTCATAGCAACGGGCGGTACAACTGAAGAAAACACCGCCAAGGGCTACACCACGTGCACAGCTACTGTTATATGCTAGAAGATCACTGCGGTCACTGTGCCAGTCACTCCCACTGAGGGTCTGCTGTTTCACTGACCCTCTGCTTTGCCAAGCAGAAACTCTAGGAACTGGTCCCTCTTGACAATAGGTCCCAAACACATGAGATAACGTCACACCATCATCGCTTCAAGGGAGGATTCTGTGTTTATTTCCTGCCAGACAGATGTGTTTGTTCTTCTAGCAGCCCATGATACTTCTAGCATTATCCACCCATACCATTCTTCAAAGGCACCATTAGTTCCCCAGGCTTACTTATTCATTGCTCAGCTGTCACATGCACACGAGGTGATGAATCATACCAGCAAGTGCACTTTAGTTCTCAAAGTGTCACCCTTGCTCTTTAAAAGGTCTTGTGCGGCAGGGTTGTTCAATGCAACATGTACTTTGATTTCTTGACTGATCCTGGAAGAGCGTTACTGAGGGGCAAGTAAACGGACAACTTCAGTCTTATCAAGATATTGCCTATTGGTCCCATTGTAGGCATTTTTGTTTTCTGTATACAGTGAGTTGTAACCCAGTCTTTGCTCTTCATTGTAAGTGCTTCAATTTCCACTTCCTTTCATCATGCAAGGTTGCTAAGGGGCCTTCCTCTAATCCCATGCCACATTCTTCTTCATATAGTCCAGCTTTTAAAATGCTTCCCCCCAACCAAGCATATAGATTGGATAAGTATGGTGAAAGTATATAACCATGATATATACTTTTCTTGATTGGAAACCATGTGGTATACCTTGGTTCTGTCCAAACCATTGCCTCTAGGTACAGGGCTATGCACAGGCTCCACAGGAGCACACTTAAGTATTCTGAAATTTCCATGCTTTCCAATGTTACCAATAGTTTAATATGATCCATAGTCAAATGTCTTTGCATCGTCAATAAGCCCCAAGCAGCTGTGTCTGTTAAATTTAGTTATTCCCTAATTGTAATGAATGCCCCATCATCTCTGCTTCACCCGAGTCAGTAAGGTCCACTCTACTTCAAGGAGGTAGCTCTTCCCCTGTTTTATCTGGAGGCCTTCCTAACTGGGACCCATGTTCTAGCTCTATATCGAATAGGATTCCATTGCTATTCACAAGTACTTTAGTGACTAATCGCTCAAAAACGGACAGTCTATTCCTCCACTCTAGTCTTTTCTTAATACGGAAGCTCTGGTGAAATCTATACACCAATGATGACCTGCCAGTGTTTGAATAAACAGTGGCATAGCTTCTAGTATCATAGAACCATTCAAGAAATTAAAGAACGAAAAACTGATTGGTGGGCAGGTTCAAAGAACACTGGTGTATGTATGTCTATTTATGTCGCTGTTATTCGACATCTAGGGTATGCTTACATATCTCATTATATAGGAAGGAGTATATGACTGGCTTTTACGGTATTTCTATTTCTAGCTTTTAAAGACTTCACTGTAATTGGGGTAAAATTTACAGAGCAAATGTTTCCCAGTCAACCATGTGTACACTTTTTATGTCACAGTTGCAATTTCCTCCAAGTAAAAGCACCCTTCCACCTTTCCCTGGTTCCCGCGTCTCCAGTCCTTTCACTTTTTCCTTGCTCCTTTTTCCCTCTGAACTTCCTTTGGGGAAATGTTGCTCTTTGGGTCTTGGCGAGGTAATTTGCTCTGAGTAGTACGTTCAATGCTAGCATTCACGTTCCTTTTGCAGGCTTATCCACTGTTTGGAGAGGGATCTGAGAGGTGGGCTTATGTTTCCACCTTTGGGGGTAAGCTTTGTAATATTTTTTTTCATAGTGGCTCTACCATGGTACAATCCTACAAACAGGTGTGTAAGGGCTGCGATCGTTTTACAATCTCAGCAGAATTAGCTGCCTTCTGTTGTTTGGTTAAGTACCATGTTTGCAGGTGTGAAATAGTATCCCATGGTAATTTTGATTTTAGGTCTCTGATAGCTAATGAGCAGGAGCATATTTTCACATCTTTGCTAGGTGCCTGCGTGCTCTCTCTTCAGTGAAATGTCTTTTCATGTCCACTGTAACTTTTTATATTATTATTATTTCAAGGTTCCACTGAGACAATTTTGGAAGACAGGGACACCTTGCACAGAGTAGACATAGAGTGTTCTCGGCTGTAATCTTTATAGGCGCAGCATAACAGACCTTGCTTCTACTGACTGGCTCGCGGTTTTGAACCACCAAACGTGGATGAGCGGTCAAGAGCTGAACCGTTACCAACCGTAGTTCCTTTCCATTTGTCTACCTCTAGCATGGTGTCCCTGCGGTGCCTGGCACACAGAAGACCCCCAGAGGCTTTAGTTTCTTAATGGACTCATGATGGAGCACGTAAATGAGCGTGTCTTCATTTTCACAACTTGCTGATTATACAGTCCTGTACCCTGATACTGGGTTACTCTTCTGGATATTTTCTCTCTTGTGTAGCCTAGTCTGTGTAGATGCATAAACGCTTGGCCACAAATGGAAAGGATGGGAGTTCTAATTCAGGAAAGGGCCTGGGGATATCATCCAAAAGGGCCATGGTCACTGAAAATGCTGTGTAACACAGTTCCGCTCAGACACCCATGAATTTGTCACAAGTTAGAATCATCAGAATGATTATCCTAATGGTGTGCAGCAGCGTGCTGTCCATAGTTTTAAAACCCAAGGATATTTTAAATATTTTATTAGATAAACGAATCTCCATTTCTGAAAAAAAGATGATCAACATGCTTTTTAATTGGTATGGAGAATAATGCATAAACTGCAATACCTTAAAAGTCAATTATTAATGAGTGGAATGGTCAGACATACTATTTTCTTATGATGCCTCTTTGTGGTTGATTTCTCTCTAATACCAGGATTATTCAATATATTGATAGGTGATCCCCCTCTCTTCTATTTGAGAGGACAGTAATTAGCTGGTATTAATTGCAATTGGTTGGCATTAATTCTTTAATTAAATATTTGGTAGGATTTGCCAGAGAAGCTATCTATGCCTGGGGCCTCCTTTGTGAGAAGGTTGGTAATGACTAATTCAATTTCTTCATTTGTAAACAGGTCTAGTAAGACTATCTGTTTCTTCTTGGATCAATTTCTGTGCCTTTCTGTGCCTTTACTTAAGTTTGTCCAGGTTATTTCATTTTTCCTAAAATAATCTAGGTTGTCTAGTTAGCTCATATTTTATCCTGGTATTCCCAAATAATCCTTTTGTTTCCCTAAAAGAATCATTAGGGATGTCCACTCTTTCATTGCTGGTTTTAGTAATTTGAAACATCTCTCTGTGTGTTAGTCTAGCAAAAGGTTTGTCACTTCAGTTGATCTTTTCAAAGATCAAATTTTGCTATTTTGATTTTCTCTCTCTTTTTGAAAAAATTATTTTATTGATTTTCACTCTAGTTTTTATTATTCTTGTCCCTCCCCTTCCTTTAGTCTTCTTACAGCTTTTCTTCAGGCAGAAATGTAGAGTTTTGAATCAAAATGTTTGGGGGTCTTTTTTGCAATATAGGTATTTACGGCTATAAACTTCTTTTCACGTGTTGTAGTTTCAGTTTCATATATTTCAAAGTATTTTCAATTTCTCTTAAGAAAATTTTATGTTGAGTAAGCTTTATTTTCAAATTTAAAAATTAACAATCACATTCTCACTGCCGTCAAGTCACTGCTAATTCACAGTGGGCCCGGCGGATTCCCCTGTTTACAAGAGTACAAAGTCCAGTCTTTCTGCAGTGCTGCTGTTAGTTTCGAACTGCCAACCACGTGATCACAGCTCAGCCACTGTGCCACCAGGGCTCCGTAAATGACGGTTTTATAGATGATGGGTTGAGAGTTACCAATTCTTTTGTACCACGTATTACCTATCTATTCCTCAATGTTTATTTTGTTTCCCTTTGTTCTGTTTTCTTGGGGGGACAGAGGCAGGTTGATAACACTTGATTTTACTATGTAAATATTCTACTAGAAATGCTCACAAATAATATTATCTTCATTTGGCATTCAGTTGATTTCTTTATGATTTCACTTTGAAATATATTTCAGAATGCAAAATTTCTAATAAAATGATTTTCTAGTGAAAGGGAGGGAAAATTTTTTTTTCCTGAAAATTTCCATGTTGTAAATACTTTAGGCTTTGTAGATAGGGGTATACAGTATTGTCTCTGTCATATGTTCATCTTCCTCCATTTCAATGATCACTTAAAAATAGAAAAGTAATCTTTAGCTTGCAAGTTGCTAAAATAATGCATGGCTTGGCATTTGCTCACTCTTGTGGCTCCAGCAAGCAAACTATTCTTGCTGAAGATTCAAAGTCAGACTCACTGCCATCGAGTCTATATAGGACTGGGAGAACTGCCCCTGTGGGATTCTGAGACTGTGGCTCTGTACAGGAGGACAGAATGGAAAGTCGACAGGGCCGCTATTCAGTTCCTACCCACTAGAAACATGCCATTTGAACTCCTACACGTTATTTCTTTAGGTGACTCTATATAAATGTTTACCTCTGAAGGCATTTCGTAAGCCTCGTTGTCAGGATCTGTAGGCATATCTTCAAGTATTCCTTCTTGTGGGACACCTTCTTCATTCTAATATTAAAAGCAGAAAAGATCGTGATGTGTCATTTCCACTTATAAAATCTCAAACTTTTAAAAAGATATATACAATATTTAAAGAATATTGTATACTAGCACTCCTGAACATTACTGTTCACATGCTAAATTGTACAATGTCCTTCTCGGATTATAGCAGTTGATATCTCGGCAGCATAAAAATGTACCAAACCTTGCCCAAGTAATTCACCATCCTGGAAATAGTCCACAGCCAAAGTATTAGGACGTTTATTGTAGGATCGATGACAGCAGTATAAACCATTAACCTGAATGTTCAGAGAATGATGAATGTTGAGAATTTTCAACTTAGTGTTTTATAGTTTATATGAAGGTATATATTACTATCATTCAAGAATTTTGAAGTAAAATGAGAATGTATCGATGAAATGTGGAGCAAGACAAAATGCATATTAGTTTAACAACTGATGTAAAACTCCGGTGAAAATATTAGAAGACCAGAAGCACATGACCACATTTGAAAGTATTTCTTGTTGAGTATTTATACATAATAAGTTTTTCTAAGCACTTCTAAGTTTATGTAAACATTTGTAAGGTAAAAATTAACTTTATAAAATGATTTTTGATGATAATCAAGAAATTGTTGTCTACCCTTTGAAAAGTATGGAAGAGAAATTATTTGTATTTATAAATAAACTTTGCCAAAGTTAGATTCTTAAAGCATTTCATTTTGTTGTTGTTTTCTCTAAGTTTACTCTTTATTGTGAATTAGGTGGGGGCTTACATTTCAGACGTCTAAGCTGCAGTCAACAGTGGATGCCCAGCAGAGGTATTGCTGAGTTTTATGGGATGTCTAATCCCTTTTCATCTCTAAGGCCTGATAGTTGCAGCTTCTCTTTCTTTTGTCGGTGACTGCTTTTCCTCCAGCGGCTTTCAGGACCCTCTCCTCGGCTGTTGTATCGGACGGTTTGTCTGTACATGTGACAATGACTTTCCTCCCATGTTGGGCTTTCTCAGCTTATGACTTGTGATTTTTCTCCTCATTTGTGGTGTTAGAAAGTTTTCTTCCACAACTTCTTGCACTACTTTCTTTGTAGATTGGTTTGTTTGTTTCTTCCTGCTCTGAAATTCCAATGAAGCATAGGCTGTTCCTACTGACTGCTGTTGTTGTTAACCACCATGCAGTTGCTTCTCGCACAGAGCAGTGTTCACAGCGTTGTGGAGCAGCTGCTAGTTTGGGGAGGCCTGCTCGGTAATAAGGGGATAGGGGAATCTGTCAGGTAGGTGGTGCCAGGAGAAATCACTGGAACCATGAAATAAAACATAAAAGGTCAAGAAAAAAGAGGCAGAAATAGAAAATAGGAGGGAAAGAGATCAAGAGAAAGAGAGCGGAAAAAAGAAGGTAGTTGGAATAAAAGAGAAAGAAATGAGAAGAGAAAGGAAAATAAACATAAACGGTTGAAAAGGAGAAACGGCAGGCTATGATTTAGAGAAGACGAAGAAAAGTAGGAGAGTTTTCTTTTTATGAAATTTCCCCTCAGTCCCGGAACTCTGTAGTTGTATTTAGTGAGAGAGCAGGGTGGACTGCAGTGACCGGGTCGTGGTGCCAGGTAGTGTCTACGTGCTTGCAGGTGGATCGTGTGAATCCTGTGGGGCAGAGATCCATACTGGGGACAGCTGACTGGTGTCATCGTAGGCCTTGGACATGGCTGCTGGCACCATGAGGGGCTCCTTGGCTTGCCTGTGTGCACTGCAGGGGACCGTGCTATGTGCTGGCGTGGGGTTCTGTGAGGACCTGCGCTATGTCCTGGTTGTGCTGTGGGGGTTCATGCCAAGGCTGGGTCACTTGCCCCATGAGGGTTCAGAAGCAGACAGGGTGACCATGCTGGGGGAGCAGAGAGGAATGGCGCTGGCTGGGGGCCAGGGTTGGTGGGGGCCGTGCTGAACACTCCTCTCCTGCCCTCTTCTTCCTGGATGCAGTCTCTGGGGAGTGGGGATTTGATTCACTCAACTTTCTAGACATTCTCTGAGACTGCGGCTCCGTAGACTTCCTTCCCACGGATTTCCTTTGTCCTGGTTGTTGTAGAAAGTCTAGTCGTATGTGTTTGGAATCGGCCATCTTGCCCTGGAAGTCACGTTTAATTTTGGATGAAGAAAACCTTCACGGTCTGACAGTTTTCTAGGCTTCTCCCCTAAAAATATGCTGCCACAAAATCAAACTGACATGGCCGTGACTATATTAGTTTGCTTCATTATCTACTGCTTGTTGCCTGGCATTTATTCCAGACAAGATTTATGAAAAGATCATGTTCGTTGAAAACTGAAAGACAGAGGGTTACTGTGATCATAAATGTACTTTCTAGAAGAGGTCAAAGAGTCCCTCAACCAATTTAGATTACACTTCACAATATTATGATGTGAATAATACCTCATGATGTCTTTATTACAAAGGTGACTCGTGGGCTAAAGAAAGGACTGACAGAGAGAGGAGGTCAAATCAAAGATCGTGTGTCGATTAGATGGGCAGAAAAGTGTTTAGCTCATCCTCCCCTGCTCCAACTCCCTTTATATAAACCAAAGAAGTCCCAAAGTTATTTACAAGGGCAATTAAATGTAAAACATCCAAAAACAATCTTACTTCGAATTGTGAATGAAAGGTATTGTCTTCACCTCATTTTACCTCTGGGTACAAGTCAAAAAAGACAGGTCCATTAA